CAGGGATTCCCTCCTTCCCTGTCCGATCCTCCAGCGCTGACTGGCGGAACGGACGGGGAGGGGGCGGGTACAGCTGGGTGGATCCAGACAGAAGAAAGCTGTACCCGCCCCCTCCCCCGTCCGTTCCTCCAGTCAGCACTGGAGGTTTGGAGCGGGGAGGGGGCGGGTACAGCTGTCTCTGCCTCTAGATAGGCAGAGTCTGCTGTCACTCACGCAGCTGGGTGGATCGCATCAGTAATGTCAGGATCCGTCCCAGCTGCGGCGGTCTCAATATACCGCGAGCTGTAGCTCGCTATATACTGAGCTTTGGGTCAGGGGAGGACGCTAGTATATGTCCTCCCGTGACCCTTAAGAGAACTATGGGTAAAAACACTTACCCCATAGTTCTCTTTTAATCATTAGGGAGTATCTCACCAAAAATGAAAAAAAGGAAAAAGCGACATGGAGTTGGCTGTCCTCCAGCCATAAAATAAAACAGGATCTATCTAAATTGCAGCAGCTTCTAATGCACATGATAAGGAGCCCACAGTGTGCAGTAAAATCAGAGTAAGACATTTCAGTAAACAAGAGGTACCTGTACAACTGTACAAGACTGAAGGGAAGGCCGGAGTTCAGCTTTAAAAAAAAAAAAGCTAAAATTTTCACTTGAAGGCAGCTGGTCAATAATGCAATTAATGGAGTTTTTCTTGCTCTCAAAGCTATTTAGCCTAATTGGGTGGCAATTTACCTTAATCAAGATTAAATACCCATAAAAATCTAAGCAAAACATCAATAACTAGCCAACGTGCTTTATTCATGCATTGAGATCTTTTCACATTAAACTAAAAAGGCTTAGGTGTCATAGTTTCTGTACAGAAGGAACTGTCATGATAGCTAAAAGCAATCATCTTCTTTCATTTTCCTTTTCATGCCTTTTAATGCACTGAAAATAACACAGACAGAATTTGGTTGTGAACCGATAGTTTCTGGCAGTTGGTGGACATACAGTACAACAGCAAGGGATGGGATTAGATCATGTTTCAACAAATGCCATTTATCAAATTGGGCTCCTCCAACAAGCTATCAGCCGAAATACTGACAGTGTCCAGAAATATGTAGAATATTGAAAAGGCGCCTCCAATGCAAGCTGCTGTATCCAAGTTACTACAACAGAACTCTATTAAGTCATTATTACAGCCCTACTTCCAGCACTGCAAATACAGTGGTACCTCGGTTAACAAACGCTTCTGTTGGCGAACAATTTGGTTCACGAACAGGAAGTTCGGCAAAATTTTGCTTCAGTTCATGGACTCCGCATCGGGTGACGAACCCAACAGCAGCCATCTTCCCTGCTCTGACACATGGCCGTGGCTTCTTCTAGTCGAGATCACGGTTTGTTCACAGTTTGATTTGGTTTGCGACCAATTCGGTTCGCGACCAGAATCGTGGAACAAATTAAGTTTGTGAACCGAGGTACCACTGTACTGTTTAACTATATCAGGTCTAAGACACCGGCTGTGATGTACTAAATAGCATATAGCCGGTGGTCATAAGGAAAATTCACTGGATTACACTATAGTACATTACTGCAGAACAAAGAGCTGTAGGATCAGTAATTGCCATCAATGGGCATTTCTGCCTACTTGTACTGTAAAAGGTACATTTTTCTGTCTGTGCCCACCACCAGTTCATTAAGTCTGGCTGACAGCACTGCATGTATAAATTAGAACAGGGAATGCCCCACACCTGCCTGCAGCCTCTGCATAAAAAAGTCAATAGGATGTATTTACTGAAGAAACTTGAATCCAGCCAGTGTGGCCTGCAGCCTCCCGTTCCCGTTACTTTCCCTTCAACTAGTAAGGAAGCTGCTCCTGGATGCCGAATGCATTCATACAGACTTGTAAAAGTTACTGAAAGACCCACTTTCATTTGTTGCATAAGCCCATCATGAGAGTTTAAACTATGAGTCATGTATTCGTACACTTGCCTGCAACCTTTGGAAAAAAGCCAATGGGATGCATTACATTTACGGAAGAAACTCAGATCCAACCGGTGTGGCCTGCAGCCTCCCGTCCCCATTACTTCCTCTTCAGCTTGTATAGAAACTGCTCCTGGCTGCCACTAATGGGCACTGGTGGGAAACTAGCTCTGTGCTGCCTTGAAACAGATCCCTTTCTCCGAGCAGCATCAGCGAGAAGCAGCTTCCACACCAGCTGAAAACAATGTATACAGCTACACTACCTGGGGCTGCAATCCAGAGTTAGCTTCTTATTTTTTTTTTTTAAAGACAACACATCATTGTGGCTTTTTATCAAAAGCTGCAGTAACAATTTCAAATGAGTGATTCATAGTAAAAGTGCAGTCATCCTTAAAACTTCTTGCAGCTGGTATTTCATATACGAATACTAATGTTCAGACACATGCCATCCCCGATATTGGTGAGCAACAGCTGTATTTCACAGTCCACCTGCTCACACAGGAGATTTACAGGCTGATATATTTCAGCTGCTTTGAAAAATGAGTATCGGTGCAGGTCAACAGCATGTTATTGTGCATTTGCCAAATATGGGAACATGCCAATCACTACATAGACACACAAATGCTTCATATGGGTTCACAGTGAATGAACCTGTCAACATATAGCGGCTGGTCCATTTGCTTCCTATCTAGAAAACATAGCAGGCTCTTCGCGGTTATGTCAAGGTTACATACATGCTGATCTGTGCAGTCATTTCCCCAAGAAATTTGCATCAATCAGTTTGTCTTTGCGGGACTCCTCTGCAGTGTGCGTCGAGGGGGAAAAGCAACCGCTTCTAGGCAAATTTGCATGCAGGAAGCGTGTGGCTCAGGCAGCCTGCAATGGTGTAATGTAATCATATAACAATATTTAAAGTAATAAGGTAACAATGTAAATCTGGATGAACGGGTTTCTCCATGAAGCTCAAAATAAGTTGTTTCAAGTTACATTGTAACATGCAAACCCAAGATGAAATTCAGAGGCAGATAGACTGCTAGCTTTGTTTATGGATCTCAAAATGGCAAGGGGGGCATTGAGGTTATGACGCTCTGGTGGTCAAGGTGAAGGACAATTTACACTTTTGTAGAAGTAACATGATTCAAGGTGACTTGTGAAATGATAGCAGTAGTGCAAAATGGACAGGCATGCTTGTTAAAGCTGAACTAGATCCATCAATTTAATGGTCTTCCAAAACAGTTACTTTCAAGGCATGCCAACTGTCAAGGTTGCCACTTTGCTCATCTCAGCTCTCTACTGAACTTCTGAACTTTCAAGCCGTCAAATGGCTGGTGACATAGCAGGTCACATGTGTAGGACCATGACAATTACAATCCAATTAGAGGCTAAGATGGCACATTCCTTGGCTGTGAGGAATAAGAGGAAGTAGTTCCCCTTTAACATAACATACAGTAGATGCACTCTACATTCCTGATGGATACGAGTCTTGGCCAAAAAGTCACTCAGATAACATTGGGAGCAATTATTATATCAGCCAAAGAGAGGGCCCAAACTGTCCCGCCATGGTGGTCGTGGGAGCCCACTGTTGCTATTGTCAGACTGTCTGCCCTCACAAAAACATTCTATTGTGCCCTCTTAAGCTGCCACAATTTGCTACACTGCCATTGACGTGACAAGTTATGTTTCACTGTTACTGGTCACAATCAGAGCTGCTGCAAACAGTATTTTAGGCTATCCAGTTTAAGGTGCCCAGGTAAGTCTGGCCATTCTTAACCCAGGCCTAGTTGGACAGCTCACAAATCTATGACTGAACATGGGAGTTTGAGGCCAACATGGAAAATACAGTTGCCATCATCTGTTGTGGAGATAGATCTACAGAATTAGATGATCACCAGTGACAAAGCTGGCAACATTTTTTTAGTCACTCTTGTTGCTAAGCCCGTGTATAAAAGCTCTGCATGTGCAACAGTATCTAAGGATCACATGGTCAAAGGAGACAGTTTGAACTCTTTTTGGAGTTTTGTACAGTTCCCTTCAATAAGTATTAAGTTGATAAACCAAGAGAATATCAACAGATGGGGGTAAAACAACCAAACAATTTTGCAAAAGATCTTACAAAACCTGCTACCATGCTGTCACACTGTTGCTCATTTTGTTAACCCACATTAGCTAATCAAATCTGACTTCCATCTTTTTATTAGGTGATCCAACGAAAGTATATATATGAAGCAATGAGCATTGCGTCTATTACCCATTTTTAAAGTAAAGTACACTGATTCTTGCAATTAAAGGTTCAGCCCACCCAAAATTGATATGTCAATTGTTTACAAATGCTGGAGAATTACAATACCTGACAGTTTCCTATATCTCCCAGGACTCTACTGGTGAGATCTATGCAGCATGTACACCTGCTGTGTCAATTATGTGGGGTTCCCACATTACCTATTGGATTTTGTTATTTTATGTTAAGGAAAATTAAACAGGAGGAGCTGGAACAGCTCAAGGTGGGAGGGACACCCAAAACACCCAGTTGGACAGGAACAGTGTCAGAAATGAATAGGGAGATTTCAAAATTGGCATATCCATGACGTATAAGAAATAATGGGCTAACACAGTCCACTGTGTTCCACCAATAACTAAAATATCACTTTTTGGTGGGCTAGCCCTTAATGATGCCAAAGGTTGTGTCTAATAGATACACTTTAAAAGGTGCACTAGCATGTCTGCAGCATATCTTAAAGCTCTGCATAATACCGCCTAAACCCCCTGAAAATCCTATGAAGACACTGACTTTCTGGCTAAGTAGAAACGGACCAAGCTCAACACTGCTCACATCAGACTCTAAGCACTGCAATGTGGGATGCAATGTGCGAATCAATAGTGTTTCAGGAAGGGGGCTGAAGCAAATCTTTGCTTAATTTGTGCATCTTATGGTCCCATAGTATAAAACGTCACAATTAGCTGCCATCATTTATTGTAGGAGAAGGTCCTGTTTAAATAAAATGTATTAAGCATAATGCAGCAATTTTATAAAAGGAATACTCACGTCTGCTTTCATACATGCTCCTGGACTGGGCCCAGATTTTAAATGGATCAGGCTTTTTCTGTCCTGAGCCTTCAACTTGGTCTACCGTTGGTGCCTCGCTGGATGGGTACTCAGGGACAAGAGGGGCACTGCGCAGGGGAGAGGCTGTGTGCCCGCTGTGGTGACTCGATACACTGTGCTGGGAGCTGTTCTGGCTGTCTTTCCTTTCAAGTTGTGGTTGCTGTAGAGAAAATTCAAAAATAAATAAAAATGTGTCCTAAGTACCTCCATTGGTTCTTCACTGCAAATTTGATGATCTAAAGGTCACATTTTTTTTTTCATTTTCCTTTTGCTGTGATGCAATGTATGTAATATCAACTGCAACTGCGAATATATATATATTATTGCATATTATGACAAAATGTAAGTTTCTGATAAAGCTTGTACATTTATTTGCTGCTTCATATCATGATTTTTATATACATCATAGATTCTCTGTCAAGTTTTCTATGTCATGTAATACAGTCAAACAAATTCCTGAATGACAGATGAAATTAAATAAACGATCGACACAAGGCCCGATGTATAAAAAGTAAGCTAAGAGGCAAACGTATTCCCATAGCAATAAACCAGCTTCCCAATGCCATATTTTATACTACAACTTTGAAAAATGAATCAAGAATTCTGATTGGTTTCTATGGGCAACAAGAAATGATCCCTTTAATGCATTTTCCATAGGTCTGCCTCAGTGGCTGTTTTTGGAACCAGTCTGATAAGACTGTTAGACTTGCATGGAAAGAAAAAAAAAGTGCATATTTGCAGCACTACAGGAAGTAATGGTGGCATATGTAATAAGCAAATATGGCTGCCATAATGTCCAAAATGTCTTTGTATGTTGATGCCTTAAGACTTCCCTTCACTGGAATTAAGGGGCCAAGCCCAACCCCTGAAAAGCAACCCCACACCATAATCCCTCCTCCACCAAACTTTACACTTGGCACAATGCAGTCAGGCAAGTACCGTTTTCCTGGCAACCGCCAAAGCCAGACACGTCCATCAGATTGCCAGACAGAGAAGCGTGATTCATCACTCCAGAGTATACGTCTCCACTTCTCTAGAGTTCAGTGGCGGCGTGCTTTACACCACTGCATCCTACGCTTTGCATTGCACTTGGTGATGTAAGGCTTGAATGCAGCTGCTCGGCCATGGAAACCCATTCCATGAAGCTCACTACGCACTGTTGTTGTGTCAATCTGAAGGCCACACAAAGTTTGGAGGTCTGTAGCCATCGACTCTGCAGACAGTTGGTGACATCTGCGCATTGTGTGTTTCAGCATTTTATGTGGCCTACCACTTCGTGGCTGAGTTGCTGTTGTTCCCAGTTGCTTCCACTGTGTTACAAAACCTCTAACAGTTGACCGTGGAATATTTAGTAGCAAGGAAATTTCACGGAACACCTGAATCCAATGATTTGGAGGGGTGTCTCAATATTTTTGGCAATATAGTGTAGATAGATAGATAGATACAATGCAGCACATTGTAACAACAGTAACATATAGATACTTTATGTTGAAAATGAGGCAGACAAATAGGAAAAGGTTGAGATAAGCAGACAGAAAATCTGTTCTATGGGTCTGATACTATCTCACACTTAAATTATTTTTTTTTAGCTGGCTAGCAGCTTGCTATATGTGCAAAATCTTAAGCAGTAGTGATATACAGTATTGACAAAGTGCCTAGTCACTGTCTGCAATGCCCTAAGAACAGAAATGTCAGCAGGTAAGTACTGTAAATCACAGAGTAATCCAACCAAGGCCGTTCATCTTGAACACAGACCTTCCATCTGCCTTAAGAAAAAGTCCTGTGAATAAAACGATGCCACTAACATACAGGAAACCTTTACTTACATAAAGCTTTCAAATGGTGAGCATGTAGAGAAGGAATAGATGATTATAAGGTCTTTAAAGGGAACCAGTAACCAGATCTAAGGAGAATCGGGTATTTACATATTCTTAACAAGCAGTCAATAGGCTTTACAACAAGCCCCCACTGATGTGTGTAGCTGCAGGAACTGTGGAGCGATTTATCAACAATGTTCACAGCAGAAGCACTGAAGTCATTTGTCATTTTCTGAGCTGCGCTGCTCTCCCACCCAGCAGTGACCCAGCAGCTTAGGTACGCCTGCTTCACTCCCCAAAGACTGATTTAGCAGCCTGCCAGCCTTCTCATCTGTAATGTAACACAGAGCAGGTTCTCTGGAAGGGGGAACAGGGGGAGATGAGCTGCGGAGTAACTGCTGACAAGGATGAGCAAGGAAAGCTGAGCTGCTGTGTCACTACTGGAAAGAGGGTGCAAGGAAAGCTGGGCTACAGAGTAACTGTTGGGAAGGGGAGAAAAATGGGCTGTGCTACTAAGTCACTGGTGGGAGTAGGTTGAGCTGAGCTACCAAGAGAACAACTTGAACAACCTTAGTACTTCTGTTGTAAACTTTGAAGATGCATTTCTTCAGAGTGCCTGCAGTTGCAGAGATCAGTTTTTTTAAGACCATTAATCTCTTGTTAAAGGGGAACTCTACCCTTATCTCAGGGAAAGGCATTTTAGCACTTCTGCTGTAAACATTGATGATGCCTTTCTCCAGAGTGCCTGCAGCTGCAGAGACCAGTTGTTTTTTTTTAAGACCATTAATCTCTTGTAAAAGGGGAACTTTACCCTTATCTTAAAAATGACAAGAAAGACACCTTTAGAAATGTTTAGTAATGGAAAACTACAGATAGCTAGATATAATTGCAGACTTTTTATTCTTTGCATACCATATTTTCCTTTTCCTTCCCATTCTTCTCACAGTGGCCATTTTTACTATGGGCTGATGAATCCATCTCCCTTTACTTCCTGGAACTCTGGCACATGCGACTAGGACATGTGACCATACACATCATCTCAGGAAAGGAAAATGCCTGTCCCTGCGATCTTGTGATATTACAGGCGAGAATTCCCAGCAATTCACTGCTGATGTAATCTTCGCAGGATGCAACCCTTGGACACATTACATCACAAATGCCCAAGAGGACCAGGAAGTGGAAAAACAGTAAAAGTAAAATGTTTATTAAACTAATGAATGTAAGATGATTTCATATCAGCATGCAGAGCTGAATGTTAATGTGATTTTTAGTGAAAGGTCCGCTTTAAGAATATCTGTAGCCTTGGCACTGATTGACTTTACGTAACACTGTTTCCACACAATTGATCCTATGCACAAAAACTGTCAGCCGTCAAATTACTACAAATTTGCAGTAGCATTTCTTGCATCAGATTTATCTAGAATAGAACCATTATTTGTAACCCCCCATTATCCTCACTCATAAATAACAGGACATGTTCAATCTTTTGACATGCAATATAGAAAAAAAAGAGCATTTTACATAATAAACTGTTGACAAACCACATCTTCATTTCAACCTATTATAAACCAATCAGGAAAATGGCTCTGGATAATATGTGACTTTTCTTATCTCCATATAATTAATGACTTTCTGACTTTCTTTTCCCCACACATCTAATGTCTGAGTCTTATGGCCAAAGGCCATGTATTTTCTGAAGATGAGAAAATCTAGGCTAAGATCTATAACTCTAAAAAAAAAAAAAGATCATTAGCTGGCATTGATGCCAGAGGGAAGCAGCGCACATTTATCTGGAAGGCAATGAGTTAAATGATCAAATCAAATTAAAGAGAAGCAGCAAGGTTCAGCCCAGAGATGGAGAGGTACCAATTTCCTGCTCGAGTGCTCCCTGTCTCCCTGAAGTAGGATTTGAGACGTGTGTTTCAGTAATAATCTGTAAAGAATCATCTTGTTAACAATGCAGATTGTGATACAGCTTTCCTCCTTCTTTTTGCAGTCATTAAACCCTTCATGCAAAATACAGATAGGTATTAAAGCTGAACTCCAGGCAAACAAACAAATACACACATGTAATACATATACGGGAGCCGATTTACCTATAAAAGGATTTTTATTCCTACCCATCCACTCCTGAGATTTACACAGCCCTGCAAAGGGAGTCTCTGTTATAGTAGAAATACAATAGTGCCATCTCCCTTCACCTAGTCTGCTGACTGCACAGTGACTGAGTAGCAGAAAACAGATGAGGTTATCTCTCTGCAAACTCTGCTATCTCTTCCTATCAGATTGTTCTGGTTAATTGTTTTAAAAAACATCTGGATGTATTCTTAAATGCACAGAATATTACTGGATATTGAGTTATTATAGGTATATTAGGCATCAGAGATTGTTGATCCAGGGAATATCCGATTGCCTTATGGGATCAGGAAGGAATTGTTTTCCCCTGTTGGAGCAAATTAAACAATGCTTTATAGGGTTTTTTTTTTGCCTTCCTCTGAATCAACATTGGGTAATTGTGGGCATAGCGTTCTGTTTAGGCTTTTCTTCTTTTTTTTCTCCGTATCTCTATAGGTTGAACTCGATGGACTTGGGTCTTTTTTCAACCTAACTATGTAACTATGTTCCTTATCCCATGTTTATGCACTGACTCTCAGTCAGGGCAAAATTTTGTATGGGGCCCTGTGATTTCTAGTAACGCCCACCTGATATCCCAAACAACCCACCTGAGAGTGGCCCTGCAGAGCCTACCATAGACTCTCTATGGAGGGCTCTGCAGGGTCTCAGCTGGTCAAACCCTGTCAGCCCCGACTGGGCCCTGCCTTCTCCTCCACAGCTGCTGGCTGTCAATGACTCAGCAGCAGCTGTGAGGAGGAACGCGCTGCAGCACACATCACTGACAGGTTGTCAGTGATCTGAACAGCAGCGTGTTCCTCTTCACAGCCGCCAGTGACAGCCAGCAGCCTGAGATGCCATAGCGACCCAGACGGCCCGCACAGCATCAGGGGGGAGGCCTGGCCGGGCGCCTCTGTGCCCTGGGCCCCATAGCGGCCGCCTGGGTCGCTATGGTGATTGTTCCGCCACTGCTCTTAGTGCTGTCTGCCTCTCCCGCTTCCCAGGAAACTGCTAATGAGTAAAATTCAGGTACTGACACTAGATACATTAAAATGATTTTATGGTGACTACAGAGCTGCATTAATTTGCTTATTTTATGTATGGATGATTTTAGCTTCAAACACATAATTAGCCATAACAATAAAAAAAAAAACAAAAAAAAACAACCCCACAGAAGATGATCTATAGTAGATGAGTCTCGTCTTGGGCTCTCAAGAACTGGGTGCATTAA